CAGAGAATGCTCACCATAAAGCCATGACACTATGGAAGTGTCCAGGAATTCACATTACAAGGACACAGTCTTAATAACTCCACCTCTAACCCTAACTCTATCTCTAACTCTAACTCTAACCCTAAACCCAACCCTAACCCTAACCCTAACACTAACACTAACTCTAACCCTAACCCTCACCCTAACCCTAACCCTAACCCTTGAGTAGGTTAGATGTAACTAGATGATTCCTGTCTCTACACAGGTTTACAGACTCCTCTCACAAGATTAAATTATCTATTGCGGGAACTTGCTCGATTCATGTTTTGTTGAATTTTTTGCCTTTTCCTCTTTTGCTTAAATTGTCTTCCCTTATGCCAGGGCTTTCTGAGACTATGTCCCTCTCAAGATATTAATATTTGGATATGGCTTTGGGAATCTGCTTATTGGGAATCACTGATTTGATCTTCAGCACATACCTTTTCTGTGTTTCCATATATTTTCTATTCTTGTAAAGACAACTATTAGAGCTGACCTTAAATATAGGATCTTATCCCAAGGTGCTTATATTAATTTTACTTCTAAAGACATTAATTCCAAATAAGGGCATGTTTTTAGGTTCTAGTAGACACAGCTTTGGGGGCCACTACTCAATGCTCTATAAACATTCAGTGCATTCTCATGTATTGCATTGTTCTCTATAGCTATAGTTAAATACACCTGATCTGCAACCCAAAGACACTGCTGAAAATCAGGATCTGACTGTGCGAGTAACTGAGTTACAATGAAGGTTGACTTCTGAGCCCCACCAAGTGTTCTGTGTTAAATTCTGTGCTCTAACTTGGAAGGGATGGGTCCCTGAGAGATAGATTGGCAACATCTGGATAGATATATTGAGAGTCATGAACCTGCACATTCTTTTGTGCTATCTACCTGACACAAAGAATCCCTTCCCCAGGCCATATCAGTCTCTTTTTGTCAGAATATTGTGAAAAGACTATATCTGAGACTCTAGAAACAGGGCTTATCTTGCTTAAGATATGATTCTATTTCCTCACTGCTTTGCATAGTATCTTTCTTACTTTTCTCATTACTGAGAAAAACTACCCAGCACACACAAGTTAAAGGAGGAAACGTTTATTTTGGCTCACAGTTTGTAGAGGTTTCAATCCAAAGTTGTCTAGCTTCAAGGCAAGCTGGCACGGCAGAGGGACATCACTGAGGAGAAACAGTCCATGGCAGAGCAGGCAGGAGGCAGCAACAGCAAGCAGCAAGCCTGCATTTTTTTCTGTCCCTTTAAATTCCATCAAGGCTAAAAGCATACTGGGTGGTCCCAGGACAATGCTAATCCAATTATCACAACCTTAATCCAAATTGACATATCATAAAACTAGTCACTTCCCAAAACCCCCACCGATGAGCACATGAGGCTTTGACAGGACATCTAGGTACAAGCCGTAACATGTAGACTAATGATTAGGGTAAAGTCTTAGTACTCTTATATTGAGAAATCACTGTTTCTCACTCAGGAAAATAGGGATTATTCATCAATGAAGCTTCAGAACCTAGTTACTATGTCAGTAGCAATCCAAAAAACATGTTTGGGGTGGATTTTGAGGCTGCTGGAACAAGGAATGTGGGATATATATCTAAATAAGAGTTAATCTATTAGTAAGGGGGACTCTTCCCACGACCCAGCTTTTCTTTCTTGCAAGTATACATGACACAAATTGTAACACACTCAGAGGAGTTGTGTTTGTTTGTTTTTGTTTTGGATACAGGGTCTCACTAAGTCACTACATTGTCTAGGTTGTGCTTGACCTTGTGATCCTCCTACTTCAGCTTCCCAGAGTGCTGGGATTACAAGTATGCATTGCCATGACCACTTGGTGAAGTTCTTTAAAGCCTGGAAAAAGCTAAAAAGCCTTGTGTCCACAGACATAGCCCTGTTGTGAGGATCTGTGTCTGAATTCATTTTGCCATTTCTTTCACTGCCAACTGTTGAAAAGAGTATTCTTTCTGTTGAACAGCCCTCCTTCCTTTGACAAGGATGAGTTGATACATTTGTCCAGTTCAGTTTCTATTCTATTCACTTACTATTGGTCTATTCGTTTGCCAGTAGCACACTGTCTCCATCACTGGGTCATCATGCTAAGTCCAAAAGTTAGGTAGCCTCAGTCCTATCTTTGAGCTTCTTCAGTTTTGTTTTGACTTTTGTGTCTTTTTTATTTTTTAACTTCTATTGGTAAAATTTAGAGGTACAGAGTGATCATATTCATCACAGGGAATTTGCTCCTGTGTACGATATATCGTGATTCCTCTACTTTCCCAATCCCCTCCCTCCCTTCAACCCCTTTTCATTTAAAAATCTTGGTTTCCACTTTTCCCTTCTTATATTATTTTTCTTTTCCCTTTCTTCCTTTACCCTCCCCCTTTCCTTAGCTCCCCTTTCTCTTGAACCATTTCTTCCTATTTCACAATAATTCTTACAGTCTTTGGTCCTTATTTACACTTAAGGTTTCTCACACCAGAGAAACAATGTGATATTTACACATATGTGTCTTATTTATCTCACTTAGGAGTACGGTCTCAAGGTTCATCCATTTACCTAGAAGCGGCTCAAGTTTATCCTTATTTATGGCAGAACAGTACTTCATTGTATAAAACAACACATCATTTTTTATCCATTTCTTGGTTGATGGGTATTTGGGTTGTTTACAAGATTTAGCTATTATAAACTGTGCTACGGTAAACACAGGTGTGCATATATGACTGTGGTATGATGTTTTTAGTTTTTCTGGGAAGATAGCAGGAAAGGAATAATTGGGCCAAATGGGACTTGTAGTTTTAGGTTTTGGTCAATCTCCACATTAATTTCCACAGTGGTTGCACCAGTTTTCACTCACACCAACAATGGAAAAGGGTTCCTTTTTTCTGTACCCCCTCCAGCATTTGTTATTGGCTGACTTCTTGATAATAGCCATTCTTTCTGGAGTGAAATGAAATCTCAGCATTGTTTTAATTTGCATCTACTGACTGCCAAATGATATAAACATTTTTTTCATATATTTATTTGCTGTTTGTATTTCTTCCGCTGAGAAGTGCATATTCATCTTAGATGATCATTGTTTATTTGGGTCTTTAACTTTGGAGGGATTGAATTTTTTTCAATTCTTTATATATTATAGATACAAGTCCTTTGTCTGATATAGGTATAGGCAAGATTTTCATGAACAAAACCCCTATCACATGGGAAATAATACAAAGAATCAACAGCTGGGATCTCATTCTATTAAAAAGCTTGTGCGCATCAAAAGTAATTACCAGTAAAGTGAAAAGACAGTCCACAGACTGAGGAAATTTGCTTCTTCATATAAAATCTAGGATCAGTTTAATGATCTCCACAAAATGATTTGCTGGGATTTGTGATTGAGATTGCCTTGAATGAATAAATCAAGTTGGGAAGAACTTATATGTTAATAATATTTCTAGTCATAAACATGGAACAGTGTTCTGTTGATTTATTTATTTGCTTTCTTTCTGATGTGAACCTATCACACATGTGTTACTTGTTTTTCTTTTAAGACAAAAGATGTTAATGTATATGTTGTTTTTTCTAAACTAAAACCTCAATATTCAGGTTTAATTGCAGTGTTGGCACTTTGTGATAAGTAAATGGGTTTGGGTTGCAGTTTGGGAGATGGTCTCTAAAAGGTTTCATCACTGTCATAGACTAATAATTAAGGTAAAATCTTAGCATATCTGCCCTGAGGAATCACTGTTTCTCATTCAGGAAGTTTTGCAGTTTTCTTCATAGAGATCTTGTACATTTGTACTCAATTATTTCAGTTTTGGAGATGCTGATATAAATGCCAAAATGTTTTAAATTCTAAATTATATTTATTCATTTATTCACAGCAGTATCATTGCTGGTACATAGTAAAGAAATGAACTTTTGTGTATTAACTTTGTATCTTTTTGCCTTGCTGTAATTGTTGTAGTCTTATCTCCTGTAACTTTGTTTTATTGATTCTTTGAAATCTTTTACATACAAAGTCATGTCACCTGCAGTTATGTGATTTTTCATTTTAGCCTAATAATACCATTCGTGGTTTTCTCTATTTGATTTCCAAATGTTGAATTAGATTTGCAAACTTGAAATAAATCCGACTTGGTCACAGTGTGTAATTACTTTTATGCATTGTTGGATTCCATTTGCTAATATTGTTGATGGTTTTGCATATGTGCTTAATGCTTATATTTCACACATTTTTAATCTATATATTCTAATCAGATTTTCTAGTTTGAATTTCCACAAAATACTATGAGACAGTAGATATACAAATAGAATACTCTTATAGTATTGGAGATTAGTCAGGGACTTTTCCAAAAGTCAAACAATAGTAGAGCTCAGAAGAAAATTTCTCACTGATTGCTAGCCCATATAATGATGTAGTATACTATAAACCTTTATATTTGCTATTTGCTTTACAATAAAAACTTATGATACAGAACACAAGGAAGCAAAATTTTATTTTTTTTACCCACTAGTCCTCCCATTTGTTGCAGACCAATATTGTGGTGTGCAAAGTGTAAATATCTTTACTTATCGAGGTTTTAATTATCACATCTGTATGATAAGAGGATTTGCATTTGAATTCTAAGTTACTTTCAGTATCTAAAAGCTTAAAATCCACACCCAGTTCCAATATTAAACTGTAAGATGATTGGGCAAGCAGCGTGCCCATAGGCACAGAGTAGCACTTGGCTGGGTCTTAAGACTCAGAGACTCTTGAAGCTTGAGTAGGTACCAGCAAGACTGACATGAAGGATATAGCCCAGGATAAGGGGACAGCACAACCAGTGCAAATAAATGTGGATAAATTCAAATAAATGAAACAAACAAGCAGCAACAAAACATCAAAAATAGAAGAAGAAAGCTGAAGTTTGGGTTGTTACATAAGAAGGTGTAAATTTTGTGAGCCTGATATGTGATTCTAAATGAAATTATTTCTTTTCAGGTTTTAGGGGAAAGAAATAGCAGCATCAGTGGATACAGAGTCAAATGATTTCTCTCCCAGGCTGCATCTGTCCTCCAGTTCTTCCATCAGTCTTCATCATCTCCCGGACTGTGTGCAGACAAAAATCTTCTGAGAGAAGCCAGGCCTCTGTCTGCAGTCTCCTACCCCATGACACGCTGTGCCCTAGGGCACTAGATGGAGCTCTATGGAAACATTTCTAGGGGTATGGAAGGTACTGGAGAAGAGGAGCTAATGAGTTTGCAGGATTGGAATCTTTCAACCGGAACTGAGCATTGCTCACAGGGACCCTGCCTCACAGAGGGCACCTTCTGATGGATGGCCTATTTCTAGACCATTGACTCTGTGGGTTATACATAGAAACACCAAGGGAGCTGGAGCCATAGGAGTCTTCCTTAGGTTATCTTATGCCAGAGACAGTTAAGGCCCTGAGCCTCACGCAGAGGCCCAGGGTGAAATGTCACCTTTGTCATATATAGCTGGCCAAGTTTGGGTGAGGTCTTTGATTTCTCTGAGAACCAGTGTCGTGTTCTCTAAAGCGGTGCAGACAAGTCCTCTTTCATGCAGCTGGTCTAAAGACTAAATGATGGAGACCGCAAATGTATAAGGTCTGCAGATAGGAACTAAATGCATATGTCTCCATGCAAGCACACACGTGGGTGTGGGAAGGCAAATGCCCTTGGTAATTAACAAGGGTTGAAAATGCTAATTCAGTCACCTGACCCCTCCTTTGTTCCTTAAACCTAGCAGCAAAGTGTTAGGCATTGGAAAAGGATAAAGTGAGGAGCATAAGAAAGCTTGGCACCATATCAACTCATTTCTAAATCCTCCAAGCATTTTTTTCATCATAACGTGTCTCCTTTTAACCTTGCAAGCCCAGAGATATTAATAGTAATGCTAACATTACAGCTGACACATAACATTGAGTGGCAAGCAATTTTCTAAATATTTTGCATGCACAAATTCATTTAAGCTTCCTAATGATACTACAAGATTGGTTCTATTATCATTCTTATTTTATGTATAAAGTCATGGAGTCATGCATAGAATAATTTTCCAATTTCACATGCAGAGAAGGGAGAGTTTCCTCATCTCTTCTAGGACTCCTGGCTAGATGGGAAGTAAAAGACGACAAAAGCAGGATAACAAGAGAAAGCCAGAACAAATTTATTCAGTCAGAATTTTCCATGACACAGGAAGCGTTAGAATGAAGACCTGGAGACTCAGGGAAGATCTGTTTTTATGCTTAGTTTTAATGAAGACTGGACAACCATTAAAAATGTGATTGAACAAAAGGTCCTCATGTAATAGTAATAGGCTGGATTTCATGGAGGCCTATGCAGATTCTTGTGGTCTCTCTGGGTAACATTCCTGCCTGCTGGGTATATGGTGGGATCTCTTCTGGGAAGTTTCCTGTGACCTACTATCATACGAGGGGAGGTGGAAAATTTTCTTTTAGATAGTTCTTACACAGAAAGCTGGGAGAAGGTGAGTCATATTTCCGGGTTTTATGGCTGGTTTTGGGGAAGAGAGATTCTAATGTCTGGGACCTGCCCTGGGGGAAAAGGGGACCAGGAAATTGAAGGGCAAGAGAAGGTCAGAACTATGTTGCTTGTGACACTCTTTCCCTCAGTTAAAGGGTTAAGTACGCTGAGGGCGCCTCATATACTGTGTTCTAACTCTGACACACATAAGTATTTATTGGCATAACCATGTTTTGTTATTTTTAATTTAAGTGTAATTTATTGTTAAAAAATACTAGTGGTCATATGAGTTGTTAGAAAAAAGTGTTATCAGAACATTTTCCCAGTGTTGCCACAAGCCTTCAGATTGTGAAAACAACACGTAAAACACGTGGTCTCTAGCAGGCACAATCAAGCAAAGTGTGACAAAACAAGGTATGCTTGTCGCTGCAGCTCAAATGTTTCATTCTGCCATTAGTCTTCCGATCATATCTGTTTTTCTTTCCTCTGTTCCACCTTGAGAGTTTATCAAAGAGTTTCAGTATTCCATTTTAAGTCCTCTATTGACTTTTGTGCTATTCTTATTGACTGAATGTTTGTTGGCTCCCAAAATCCATATATCAAAATCCCAATGCTCAATTGTGGTGGAATTAACAGATGAAGTCTTTGGTAGGTGATAAGGTCATGACAGTGGAGCGATCATTAATGGGATCGGAGCCTTTGTAAAAAGAGATTCCAGAGCTCAGTCTTTCCTTCTGTTATGTAAGGACACATTGACATGATGACTATCTGTGAACCAGAAAGCAGGGCTCCGGTAAACACTGAATCTCACGCTGCCTAGATCTAGATTCTGCCAACTTTCAGAACTGTAAGAAATAAATGCTGTTGTTTAAAGACACCCTGTCTACGGTGCTTTGTTATAGCAACACAACCAAGATAATTATAGTTCCTGGCATTGTTTTACAGTGGTTGCTTTAGAAAGGAAGATTATATGTATCACTAATCTATCATGTGATCCTTAAGAGTTAATGTTGCAGTACTTCACATATATTACACAAAAATAGTGCAACAAAATAGCATAGCTGAATTTTTTCTATTTTAAAGATAAAAGAGCACAGACATATTAACAGACACAAAGACATTTACAAAATAACAAAAAACAATACAAGCACAGCTGAGGTATGAAATTAGTTTGATGTCTCCAAATTAGTTGTTCATATTACCAGCTATAAGCATGGAAAGTTAGTAAAAAAAAAAAAAAAAAAAAAAAAAAAAAAAAAAGGAAAAAATTAGGCATTAACTGTTTCTTTCAATCAACCAATAAAAATCAGCAGTACAATTATCCCAGCTATTCATGTCTATACATATATATTTTTCCCCTTCTTTTTTCTTTTCTCCTTTCCCTCATCCCACTTGTTCCTTCCCTTTATTTTTTATTATCTTTTTTAAAGAAGTGAAAAAAAAATAAAAACTAGTGTGAGATCACCACCCATGTCCTCAGCTCCCTGTGTTTGGCTTAAAATTTAAAATACTTGATGGTCAATTGAAGGTTGTCCACAAACTCTTAATATCTTCGTTCTTCCTTTACTTACTGGGGTAATGATTTGTTTTTCAATGATTTATCCTTCTGAGTCTCTGACGTCCCCAGGCCTTCCTTATTTTCCAGCATCCCTTGTTTTTCTCTAACAAGCAGAGGTGCATGTGGACTTCCCCTCCCACTTGCCTGTGCAGCCAGACTTGAAGCAGAGATCCCTTTCCCACTGTACTGAAGGTGACACCGTATCCCTTTGGTGCCACTGCTCTCTGCCCTGACTGTGGCATGGGTGATCTGAGGGTACTGCCTGAATTCTGTTTTGGCTCAAAAAAGGCAAAAGTTCTGCTCTGTCACTCAGGGGCTTCTGATGAAGGTATTTGTATAAAACAGAAAATATGTATAATTTGCTTATTGGTGAATAGAAATGTGAAGATTGTGGTCATACATTGATCTTGAGAGTACAAGAAATGGGAAAAATCTTAGACACAAAAAATTACTTGAAATCTTTAGTGGATGGAGAGGAAGTGGGTAGAGTGAATGTCTGCATTTCTTCCAAGGAACATGACATCCTTCCAGCCTGACCTGCAAAATCCTTCACCCCTGTTGTTTTCCCTTGCAGTGGAAAACTGAGCCCTAAGACAGAGACAGGAAAGTTCAATGTTTTTCTTGGAAAATTCAGTATGGGGAAGTGTTATTTTTAACACCCTCTGGGCCTCTTTTTAACTAATTTTATACCTACCCTGACTTTACACAATGATATCTTTTCCCTTTGCCCCCTGATTTGTCTACTTCCTGTACTCACCAGAAGCTTACATGGCTTTCACCTTGGTCTCTGCCCAGTGGTTTCTGGTGAATGAAAGAAGGAAAAAAAAATGAAAGGAGGAGAGAAGAGGAGGGAGAGAGAAAAGGACAAAAGCAGGAAGGAAAGGCAGGCAGGCAGATAGACAGGAAGAGAGGAAACAGGAAAGGAGGAAGGAAGGAAGGAAGGAAGGAAGGAAGGAAGGAAGGAAGGAAGGAAAGAAGGAAGGAAGGAAAGCAGGTGGAAGGAGAGAAAGACACTGGATTTAAAACAAGCTTATTATGAGTCATGCAGTATATTAGGCCCTTCCATATACAATTGCCCATTCAATTCTCACAAAATTATACAAATAATAATAGTTGTGCCCACATAAAGACCCAAAGGCAGAGCTAGATTCTGTTAAACCTTTATGGTTATTGTGCCATCTCAGGAATGTTTATGTTTGATTGTGTCTCCCCCCCCCGCAAAATATTGATGGCCTCTGAGTTGGAAGAGCCTGTGCTAAGCAGCTTATTCAAGGAGTAAAAATGCAAATGAGACATGCTATGCACCCTATGGAGTTTACAGAAATACAGCAGATCAAGTGCAAAATTGACACTCACAATATACCACGGAGCAAGTCCTGAGAAGTACATAGCTCCTATGCTGTTCAGACAAGCAGGGCATCCCTGAAGCCCTGGGGGTCTTCATTGTCTTCTTTCCCCAATCTTATGGTAAGGCTCTGGCTAGCACTGGCAAGGAATTTTGCATCTGGACCCTAGCTTTAAAAATGTATGTATTCTAATTTGTTTTAGACTGGGGATTTTTTTTGCTGGGGGTGAGGTTAAGCAAGTTGTCTATGTAAATTTTAAGCTACTTTTGAACCACAGTGATAAACTTCCCATTCTTAAAAGTTGTGCAGACCATGTATTCCCGTGTTCTGAGGAGGACAGTTAATTTAGAAGCAGCTTCAAGTCCTTGGGCAGACAGAAGGCACCCCTCAGGAAATGAAAACACAGCACTCAAGCCTTCCTCTGCTGTGAGCTCTTTTTCTCCTTCACGTGATCTACTCTGTTCCAGGAAACTTGGCAGTTTAGGGCAGACAGATTCATGTCCAATTCTCAAACACACATTTTCGTCTGTCATTTGTGTTCCTAAATGTTGGGTATGTGTGGCAGAATGATCTCTGTAAGAAAGAATTTAAAGTCCAGTCAAGGAAAGAAATAATAGCAAAATCTTACGTTTGTACAGTGCTGTGTTTGCCCTAACTCAGCAAGATTTAATGGTACTCAAGAGGCTGTTAGGAGTAGAAAAGGAAGGGGAAGGATGGTGTTGGGACCTTAGTGTCATGTTTTAGAATAGGATAGATGCTGTGGAGGGCCACCAAGGCCACTCTCCTTGAAAGACGAGTAATTGTCTCCATTTTGGCTGAGCCTGACCCTATTTCCATGTATTGATATGTACAGAGCTGGCTAGGGCTTTTCCTTATCCCTTCAGTTGGCTTTAAGTAATGCATATCAGTCTAGCCAAGGTGCTGATGGTAGTCTTTGAAGACGGCAGGCGTATTTCCCCGACCCCTGTTACTCCCTGGAGTGAGCCAGGATGAGGTGGGATGTGTGAACCAATGCTCCATGCTGTTGGCTGGCATCGAGCCTCAGAATAAGGGCTATGACTTCCTAGGACTTCAAAGATTACACATCAGAGCTGAAACACCAGCCCCAAAATATTAGATACTCTCTCAGCTGTGTAATACAGATTACTCTTTCTGCATATTGTTCTCTCTGCTTTGGCAGAGGTGATTTCAGGCCTCCTACTTAACCCAGCTCATGGCACTTACCTATTTCCCATGGTTCTCACAGTCACTCATCCTCAAGCCACTCTCTTCTTCATGAATGAATAAAACCTGGGTTCAGCCTTGAGTTGAGGCCTTTGGTCTAGATGATCATCGTCATGGCTGGACTTAGGACCCCTTGGTTCCCCATAACCACAAATATGCCTTAGTCTTTATTCTCACCATGAGTTACATTGGAAGTGGTAGATTGGAATTAACTCAGAAGAATTCCAATAGCTTTTCATGGGATTACAAATATAAACCTCCTGGGCCATGAGGAAGGCTGGGAAGGGATCTCTATAAGATGCTACACTTGACTTCCAGATAATACATCCTATCAGATGATTGACCTCCAAGAAAACATGGGGAACACCTAAGAAGAAAATCATAATAGCCAAAGTTTATTCACTGTTGATTATACACTGAGAAGTATGCCAGTACCTACTTCATCTGGACACAAACTTGACATATATGTTAGTATTATTACAGTTTTTCTATGAAAGGAAACTAAGGCACAAGAGATAGTTCAAGATCACACCACTCAGGCCTCTAACTTCAAATCCCATGTGCTAAGTGCTGTGTTATACTTGTTTCATATGTTGGCTATTAGAGGTTCTAAACCACATAAAAATTCAGGAGCATCAGGTAGTTGGTATGTGATGTGGATTCAGAGGTCAAGAAGATTCAAATCTATGAAAGGAAAAATGTATGCTTTTCAGGGGAGGAATATCCGAGAAAGCACAGAAGAGCAGTAATGTGGTGTTAACTGGTCTGACAGAAGTGAACCTGGAGCCCAGTAGGACACCCTAAGGGGGAATGGATCACTGTGTTTCTAAGGAACATAAGAGTCTTTGAGAACAGGGCAGCCTCAGCCTTTAGAGTTGCAGGATTTCTCCATAATGTCTAAGTCAAATATGAGTGGACCTACAATAACTCCTTAGCAAACCCTTCCTGTGCTCTGTCCATTGTTCTTCTTTAACCATTACCATTATGACAAAGACGATGTTTAGAGAAAATTCTTACAGAGGAAAAAAGGACAAGAACAGAGCAGCCACATGAGACAAATAGGACAATAAAGGTATGGAGACAAGAGTTCTCTGAGAGGAAAGAGCAAGGAATCATTAGGCTCTGTATGTGGTGCCATAGGGGAGTCTTTACAAAGGAGACAAAATTTATTTATTCTTTTCACCTTTATTCAGTTACACTTGATATAGAAAGATAATCCTCACTTTAGTGTACATATTTTGATGAACTTAGTTTTAAGTACATATTCATGCTTGATACCAATACTGGTCACATTACTAAACCGATCTGTTATTTCTTAAAATTTTTCTGTGATTTTTTAAAGAATGCTTAAATGAGACCTGCCCTCTTAAAATGTTTAAAACTGTACAATAGAAACTAAAGTCTAAATAAGACCTTAAATAATTAACTTTAGTTTGCCAGATATGAAAAAAACAATGGCGTTGCTAAACACAGGTAGCCAACCCAGTGGTTTCCAAACCAAAGAAATAAGTGAATTATCTGGAGATAAAATCAATCTTTGATCTACATGATCACAGTAATCTCTGATCCATGTGACGTTCATGATCTAAGTTCATCGTGAAGCAGTTGTGGAATGCCTTACTGTATGCATATTTGTTTGTAGAAGGGTAGGAGCTGGTAAAGAACAGGCAAACATTTATGTGAAGCTACTGAGAAAGCTGACTGCACAGGAAGAGTAGGAGAAGTGGCAGAAGATGTAGGTGGGATGAG